CAAAGCACACCAAATGGATCCAGGCCATGCCAGGACAAAAAAAAGTAAAACTTGCCAAAACATCTTGACCGCTTCCACAATAACTGCATCCCACAACAGAACCATCACCATTCCTGGATCTTATATAACATATCTGGAGGTGCAGGTATATCTTATCCAGGGCACTAAATGCCCTGGTGGAAAATATGTAGGAGATACCAAACAACAACTGCGTACTAGAATGAGTGCACACTGAAAATCTATCAAAGACAAAAAATATCCAATTACCTACGGGTGCACCTTTCTCATAAGAAAACCACTCTCTCTCCAATCTCTTGGTTCTAATCTTCAAAGAGAGTTTACCAAAACACCTTTTGCAGATGATTCTATGAACTTCATAAATGTACTGGATACAAAAAAAATCACAGACTAAATATAGGCATTGGATTTGTGGCATGTTATAACCTGCCTGCCTTCTAATAACCCCAGATAACCTGTCTACATTTTACCAGCTACATTTTATCACTAGTTCAACATTCCCCCTCGCCCCCACCTCCCAGTCTCAGACCTATTGTTTCTGATTCCCTCTGATCATCACTGCCATGAATTTGCATTTTCACAGACCTGCATTTTGCATTTTGGCTTCTATTCTACTCAAGAGAGCACAAAAACACCAACAGACTCCCCTTGTGCCAGAAGAAAGGTATTTGTGCCCAAAAGTTTGCAAAGAACATTTTTTCCAATGATTTAGTTGGTCTAATAAAAGATATCACATGTACCCAAGGAACCTTGTCTGCCTAAAATATTAGTGTTTACTGAATTAGCACTTATTTTGCATTTAAAAAAAATGGGCCCCTGAATGGCCAGCTTTTCTGAAGAATGAAAAACTGAAAAACCCCCTGAATTTCTTAGACAAGTTCTTGCTGTATTTTGCACAGCTTTGGCACCAAAGCAAATAGGAGAAAGATGACAAATTATCTGGGCAAACAGGGTATAAAATATGACTAAAGTTGTGCACAGATTTTATGTTGGGCCTTTGCACAGGCATGAATTTCATTGTGAATGAGGAAGCAGTATTGAGGAAATAGTACTCTGAAATCATGTTATGAAGATCATATAATGCAGATTTGAAGGGTACCTTAATATATGGTTATTGCAGGGCTCCTGGCACGGCTCTACGAGCGATCGTGGTGCTTGGGCCAGGTGCCAGATGATTGGAAGGTAGCTAATGTGGTCCCCATCTTCAAGAAAGGGAAAAGGGAGGACCCGGGCAACTATAGGCCCGTCAGTCTTACCTCAATCCTGGGGAAACTCTTTGAGAAGATCATCAAGGAGCACATTTGTGATGGGCCGGCATCAGAAATGATGCTCAGGGCAATCAGCATGGATTTATTAGGGGGAGATCATGTCAGACCAACCTGATTGCCTTTTATGATCAGGTCACAAAGGCCATGGACGCAGGTGTCGCGGTGGATGTAGTCTTTCTGGACTTCAGCAAGGCCTTTGACACCGTCTCTCACCCCATCCTAATTAATAAACTAGGCGACACTGGCATAGATGCCTACACAGTCAGATGGATTGCAGATTGGCTGAAGGGTCGCACTCAGAGGGTGGTGGTGGATGGATCATACTCGACTTGGGGGGAGGTGGGTAGTGGAGTCCCCCAGGGCTCGGTCCTGGGGCCTGCGCTGTTCAATTTCTTCATCAGCGATCTTGATGCTGGGGTGGAAAGCAACCTGTTTAAATTCGCTGATGACACCAAAATTTGGGGGGAGGTGAGCACGCTAGCAGGGAGAGAGAGATTGCAGAAGGATCTGGATAGGTTACAGGGGTGGGCAAACAGGAACAGGATGTGTTTCAATACGGACAAGTGCAGGGTGCTGCACTTGGGTAGTAGGAACCAGCAGCACACTTATACGATGGGGAACTCCCTACTTGAGAGCACGGAGGCGGAAAGGGATCTTGGTGTCATTATTGACTCCAAGATGAACATGGGCCGACAATGCGAGGTCATGGTTGGCAGGGCTAACCGGACCTTGTCGTGCATCCACAGGTGCATCTCGAGTAGAGCCAGGGAGGTGATCCTCCCCCTCTATGCGACGCTGGTCAGGCCGCAGCTGGAGTATTGTGTCCAGTTCTGTGCGCCCCATTTCAGGAGGGATGTGGACAACATGGAGAGGGTCCAGAGGAGGGCCACCCGCATGATCCGGGGACAACAGGGCAGACCCTACAGTGAGAGACTGCGGGACCTGAACCTATTCAGCCTCCACAAGAGAAGGCTGAGGGGGGACCTGGTGACCGTCTATAAACTCACTAGGGGGAACCAGAAGGGTTTGGGGGAGACGCTGTTTCCCCTAGCCCCCGCTGGCATAACAAGGAGTAATGGGCACAAGTTGATGGAGAGGAGGTACAGATTGGACATCCGAAAAAACTACTTCACAGTTAGGGCGGCTAGGAGCTGGAACCAACTTCCAAGGGAGGTGGTGCTGGCCCCTACCCTGGGGATCTTTAAGAAGAGGCTGGATACTTACCTGGCTGGACTCATTTGAGTCCCGTTTTTGTTTTTAGGGTGAGTGGTTTTGTTTGTGTTTTTGGGTTGTTCTCCCGCCCTGGCGGGGGGTCGGGCTAGAAGATCTATTAGGTCCCTTCCGACCCTAAAACTATGAAACTATGAAAATATATAACTATCACGGTGGGGTCCTAAAGGAGGGCCGTGATCTCCTTAAGGCCCCTTCCCGTGCCAAGTTGGCCCAAGGGCATCCTTGGTTTCTCGCCCACCATGTCTTTGATGTTAAAATATGTTAGGGAGGATGCCTTTTTATGCCCTCTTGGTCACTTCTTGTTGTAGTCTCTGTCTGTGGACTCCCGGAGCCCTCGTGGGTCCCGCTCTACAAACGGGTGCTTCTGGGGCACCCTAGCCTTAGGGGCTATGTGTGGCTCCAACCACCCCTTTCACCATGTCCCAAGCCTCGCAGCTGGAATAGACGTTGTTTGGTCTCTCTCTGTCTCCCTCTTTCCACGGCCTCTCTCAGGGCCTTCTCTGTAATGCCGTCCTTCTCTCGGGGCTCCTCTGTAAGGCCGCCCTCTCTCTGGGGCTCCTCTGTAAGGCCGCCCTCTCTCTGGGGCTCCTCTGTAAGGCCGCCCTCTCTCTGGGGCTCAATGCTACGCCCTTCTTCAGGGTTCACCGCAATGCTGCTCCCTTCTCCAGGGCTCACCCCAATGCTATCCCCTTCTCTGGGGCTCACCCTGCCCGCACTGGGGCTTCTCAACTGCCCCACTCTGGGGATGGGGTCAATGTACCCCGGATGCTGCGCCCTCACTGGCGCTGGGGGCCTCACACTCCGCCGCGAGGCCCCTCTTGGGGTCCTCACACTCCGCTGTGAGTCCCCTATGAGGCCTCCTCCATCCCCTGATAGCCTCACCTAAACCACCGGTGTAACAACAGAAACAAACACAAGCCCCTAGGCTATAACATAACTTAAAGCCACCCGGCTAAAACCACATTGCTCAGACATCCTAGAGCTGCCATCCTTTACCCGGCTTGGGCTGTACCTGCAGTCAGGCTTCATCTCACATCTTTGCTCAGGGAGCTCCTTTGTCCCTGGCAAGGGACCACTAGCCTGGCCTCAGCCCCTGGGCTTTATAAGGGCCAGACCCTGCCCCTTCCGGTCAGCTGACCTTCCCTGGTTGCCCCGGCAACCCTCAGCTGGGTCCCTTCCCTAGCAGTTTCTCCTCCTCAGGAGCAGGGCACCTAAGTGCTCTGCGACAATAACATTTTCTTACTTCTGAGTTTTTAACTAACCAATCAAAGAAGAGACAGTAAGTAGAAACACCTATAGCTTAACGTTATGATTTACATTAGTTTTTCATGTTCCGTGTACTTGTTATTCAGACTATGATTTCTTTTCAATCTTCTAGTAATCTTCAATCTTCTATTCCATGTGGATATTATTAAGAATTTAATACCGCTTTTGGTTAATGAAACATTTTCCAAGAAAGTTCCCTATTTGTATACATTCACCAGATGCTTTATGAATTATTTTCAGACATACAATAATTATTAACTCTTAATTTCAATTATTTGACATTTCTTTTGTGTGATGGGTAATCCAAGTTGCACACCTCTGCTTCCAGGGTTTTTTTAAAGGTACATAATTAATAGTTCCTAGAAAATAAAAACCATAAGCATTCTAACATAGATTAATTAGAAAAAATAGTAATGTATGTTACACTGTGAATGCATCTACATGTTCCCATTTACTGTGCAGTAACCAAATTTACTGTGCAGTATGGGTGTGCATCTACACATACACACCTATACCAGTAAATATGACAACTTATGCTGACTTGAGCATGAATTTGGTACCTGCATCATGCAGGTATCAAATTTATGTCATATTAGTTACAGTGCAATAACACGTGTAGATGTGTTATTGCACAGTGACCCAGGGGTCCCCCCTGCTGGATCTGTTCAGCCACTAGGGGGACAGCCTGAGCCCAGCCACAGGGCTCCTGGCTGGCTGCCTCTCTTGGCTTCAATCTGGGAGTAAAGTTAGTCCTAAATGCTGGCAGCCAGTGGCTGAAGGCTGGAGTTCCCCCTGGTGGCCACAGGGGCACATGGCAGGCTGCTCTGACCTGGGACTAAATTTAGTCCTAGGTTGCCTGCATGTGTAGATGCCAGCCTATTCCCACTTACTGAGCAGTAATTTACTGCACAGTAAATTTAAGCTGGAGTAAATACATCTGTAGACATGGCCTGTGTGAATGATTGGGACAGAATACCTTTTGGGTCTCTTGAATAACATGAAAAAACCCAACACAATAGAATCATCACAAACCAAATTTAGAGCTTTCATTTCTAAATATACTTATAAATCAAGTGGTTTAGTACAAATCAACTGTATTAATAATCCTGTTTTCTTCTTTTAATTAAATAGATTAGAGCTATATATTTTTATTTAGTACAAATTTCATGCATCCATTTCTGTGACACGCATTCATACAGGGTAAAGTGCACAAACCTGTTTATCATTCCCTGGGTTCCCAAATGTCTGCCGAATACCAGTCTGCAAGATATTCGATATTCCTTCCATGCTGAATCGCTGCATAGGAAAGCGAAAAGAAACTGATTTACTTGGAGCTAGAATAATGGCAAAGAAGTTATTCTTCAGGTTGAATATATATATTTTTCTTATTCTAAGGAGTGCTTTAATCAGTAAATCAGTCTCCGCTTCTCAGTAACATTATATTCCTTGCAGCATATTTGCAGAAGTAAATAGGTTAGAAAATTTTGGCCTTTTACCATACTCCCCTGAATCAGTATCTCATCATCCAAATTACTTATCATTGTATTCACTTTTCTTTAATTTTTATGAGTTTCTCTTTATCCTGCCTAAGACACTATGGGTGCACCCACACATGCAGGCACGTGCACTTGCAGCAGCTGAAATTTTTACCTCAGCACACATGCCCAGACAAGCACTTTGGTGTGGGGCAAGTTGTGCCACGTGGGTCAAAATAACCCTGCCCAGCTCCTCCTGGATCTGCAGCCAGGGGGAGCTAGAGCCACACATGAAGTATAAAAACCTAGAGCCAGGGTGTTGAAAAACAATAAAAAGAAAAACAAAAAAACACAGAAGGGCTAGTAAATCCAGCCAGTATTAAAACCTCTAGCCAAGGGGAGCAAGAGTCCACCAGTATAAAAACCTGCCCTGTGCTGGCCACAAAAGTATAAAAAGCTTCCCTGGGAAGTAGCTCAGGGCTACATGCTCTGAGGAGCTTCTGAGAGGAAGTTGGCCACACCTGTTCCTGCCCCAGGCTGCTGCTCTTACTTCTGTTCTTCAGCTGGGGGTGCATTTTTGTGGGGTCAGGGCTATGGACAGGGACAGGCTGAGTGGGTTTGTTGGCTGGTGTAGCAGACCTGGTCCCCTCAGGCGCTGGTGATAGTTAAAAATATAGTTAAGACTGGGGGGTGAGGCCCTTGCCCTTCCCACCCCCAGCTGCTGCTACTGCTGTTGCTGTTGCCGCATTCCCCCTTGGGGGTGAGGGATCCTCTGCCACATGTTGCTGCCCCCCACCCCGGGGTTGGCATCACATCCCCACTGCACTGCAGCACACCCCAGCACTGCACCCCAGCTTCTGCACTCCTGTTCTGGCCTGCTGCCCAGCCTGCTGCCAAGCCATGGCCAGAGGGCAGCCCAGGGAGAGGGACTGTGTTGCCTGTGGGCCCCTCCCTAATCACCACTGCCAGTGCCTAACGGTGCCTTGCGTGCCCCAGTTGCCTCAGGCATACCACCCCTGCCTTCACCTTCATCTGAAACACACCTTGGGTGGCTGACCTGGATGGCTGCTGCTGCTGCTGATGCTGCCTGTGCTGCCACTGCCCCTCCCCACCTCAGGTGGGGGGGTCCCTGCTGCACTGCCTTGCACCGCACTTGTACTGGATTACTTTCTTAATTGACTGTTTGCTCCTGCACTCCCTCACAGCTGCCTCACTGCATCTGATCCTGTGCATTGTTTCCTGCCTGCTGCCCTTCTGCTGAGTGCCTGGCTGGAGGCCTAAGGGACTCCTGGACTAAGCTTCAACAAACAAATCCTCTCCACTGCTCCAGCCATCTTAGACTAAGCTTCAACAAACAAAGCCTCTCCACTGCTCCAGCCATCTTTTACATCAGACTCAGCAGCCTCCCCTGTGTGTTTTGCCCTTGTGTGGTGAGTCCTGTGGTCCACTCCCCCTGCCCTGGCATTTGTTGTGTGGCTGAGTAAGCCAGCTCAACTCTCCCCAGCCCTTGTATGTGTGCGTGTATGTCCCACCTTCCCTGGGCATAGCCCACCTGGTTCCCTGTGGGGCTGTAACTCATTGAGCTTTAACGCCCCCACCTTCCACCTCCCCTCCACCCGCTCCATCCCCACAACCCCCCTCCTCCACCACAGCCACAGCCTGGATTCACTAGCCCTTCTGTGTTTTTTTGTTTTTCTTTTACTGGTTTTCCACTCCCTTATGTGAAACAATGGCAGGGCAGGAGCTTTCTCATGGTAGGGTTGATGCCCCTGCAGAGCTTCCTGCAGCCTCTGTTGTAGGGGCAAATTCCAGCCAGGTCCCTGAGGGGGGGGAGCATGTCCCTACAAGCCCCACTCTAGGGCCAGAGTCCAACCAACCTCCCCCCTCCTGGGGGCAAACAAGCCTGTAAACCCCACTGCAGGACTCCAACAGGGAAGCAGGAGGTCTCTCCCAGCTGCCCCCTGCAGAGGAGCTCCCAAGTCCCCCCCCACAATCACGTACCCAGGGCAAGGGCAATGAGAAGGACTCCTCTTCAGCCTCTTCCGCAGCTGGGGTGGGAAGGGCAAGGGCCTTGCTCCCCAGTCTAACTATATTCTTATCTGTCACCTGCACCTGAGGGGACCAGGTGTGCTACACCAGCCAACACACGCACTCAGCCTGTCCCTGTCCATAGCCCTGGCCCCACAAAAATGCCCCCCCAGCTGTAGAACCATAGCTATGCATAGGCAACTGCAGGCAACCCACACCTGTAGGGCCTGGACCCTCCACCACTGGCCCTTCCAGCTCAGATGGCCAGGCCCCCTTTCCAGCACTTACCCGCAGGCATGGGGTGAAGTGCCAACTACCTGAGTAGGAGGACCTGCATTTTAAGACCTAGATGCAGGCCCTGGCTCAGGTGGTGGGGGCCCAAAACCACGGCGGCCTCCTGCTTCCATGGCAAGGGTTTTTTTTCCTTGCCTCAGAGGCCGCCACACAAAAGGCGATGGAGAGGGGGCTCATGATGGAAGGTAAATACATCCCCCTCCTCCAAACCAGCATGCAGGGGAAAGGATGACCCATATTTCAAGGACCTCCCCAGCTGTGCACAACAGCCCACCCCCAGTAAAGATGAAATGGATAATCCCAGTGGAGGAGGCCCTCGGGGTTGCTGGCCAGTCTCAAGCAGGAGCCAGGGCCTTCCCCCCAACATTATGGATGCTGAGACTCAGGCTGAAACTGACCCAACAGCAGGTCTGGTAGTGGATCCCTCCCCCTCCAATGACTTGGGGTAGACCAAGGCCCTGGTGCTCACCCATTGAGTCCTGAGCGGGGAGATACTCTCTCCCAGAACCATGAGGCAGGCACTGATGCTACCCTGGTGCCTGATGTGTCTCCTCCTCCCCTCCCAGAATAGCCTTGCTACTAGCCCGCCCTGTGGTGCCACCACAGAGCGGGTCAAAGTGGGGTCCCCTGACCAACAGACTTGTCTTGTTGGGGACCCTGTGCAGACCCCCTTGGGTTCTGGCCCTGCCCTGCCATATTGTGAGGGAGTCCCACTCCCACCCTCACCCCCGCACCTGTCCCAAGGCACTGCAGAGCTCTCCCAATCCCTACCTGAGTCTGGGGCCTTAGTGGACCGAGAGGTTCAGACAGTGTCCAAGGAGCTCACTGAGCCTCAGGACCAGGAAGAGAATGCCCGTGAACTGGCAGTCTGTGGAACCTGTAGACCTCTCAGTCCTGGTGGTCCCCAGCAGTGAGCTACTTGCATTCCTTGATCTCGAGTTCACCTGGCAGTCCACCTGCAAGGTGCAGCTTGCCTTGGACTGCTGGGGAGATTTTGACAGCACCCTCAACATTGTGTGGGCACCGGTAGGGGAAGGCAAGGGACCCAAGTAATGTAACACCTGGATCTATAGGTGGGCTTGCAGTTTTGTAGATGTCCTCTATGCTTATGGGAGGGTGCTGCATGAGCCGGCGGGCCCCACGTCAGGTGTTGTGATGCATGAGGCCCCTGGTGATCCATGCCCCCAGCCATGAGGTCATTTAAGATCGTGACTCTCAATGTCCATGGCTGCAGGAAAGGTCTCCAGGGATGCCGGGTGCTCTCCTTCCTTCAGAAGCGGGGGTACCCCATTGTATTATTGCAGGAGACCCTGACAACTCTGGCCAATGAGCCTAGCTGGCAGCTGGAGTGGGGAAACAGGGTCTTTTTTAGTCACCTCTTGGCCACCTCTTGCAGGGTGGCCACCCTGTTCTCCCCAGGCCTGTAGCTGGAGGTTCTCCAGGATGTTGAGGTGGTGCTAGGCCATTTGCTGCACCTCCAGGTCTGAGTGCAGGGGCTGTTCCTGAACCTTGTGAACGTGTAACCCCCCCACCCGTGAAGGACCTGGATTTGGTGGACTTCTTCTGCCAGGTGGCCACTTACATTGGCACCCTCAATCCTCATGAGTGCCTGATCCTTAGCAGGGACTTTAACATCACCCTGGGCATGCGAGATCAGTCAGGCAGGGAGCAGAACCAGGCCACCATAAGCATCCTCAGGGAGATCCTGATGGAATACTCCCTGGTGGACATCTGGCACACTTATAACCCTGACGGCCCCCCTGCCTTCACCTACGTGAGGGTGGGGGAGGAGCAGGCATGCCACTCCCAGTTGGACCAAATGTATATCTCATTACCCAAGCCCACTCCTTCAGCATCCATCCAACCCCCTTCAGTGATCACTACCTTGTCTGGGCCCAGGCCACGCTGGGGCCCAGGCATTTGGGGTTGACCTACTGGCATTTTAATGCCAGCCTGCTGGAGGACGTGGACTTCAGGAAGGCCTTACATGAAGTCTGGATGGCCTCACAGGAACAACAGGCAGCTTTCCCCTTAGGTTGGAGATGGAGGGATGTGGGAAAAGTGTGCATCCAGCTCTTCTGCCACAGTTACACTCCGAGGTGCACCCGGAGCAGCTTGAGTGGGAAGTGCTGGAGCTGGAGAGGTGCCTGGCTGCTGATTCAACCAACCCGTCCCTCTGCAGAGAGTGTTGGGAAAGGTGGGAAGAGCTTCACACTCTGGACAACCACTGCACCTGCACTGCATTTGTCTGCTCACACATCCAGCTCCTTTGGGAGATGAACCATGGCTCCCGTTTCTTCTATGCCCTGCAGAAGAGGCAGGGTGCCAAGAATTACATCCCCCTCATGGATCCAGATGAGATGCGCCAGCATGAAGAGCCCTTCTCCCTGGATCTGACCAACACTGAAGCCTGTTGGACCCTGTGGGAGGGACTCCCGCAGGTCAGCGCAGGGGACCAAGACCGGCTGGAGGCTCCTCCCACCCTGACAGAGTTCTCAG